TCGTTCCTTTTCCTTTTCACTGTTTGCGGTTCTGCTGACGCCTTTGACCCGTACGCACCCACTTTTTTTTTTTTTGTTCTCTTGTCTTTTTGCTGGTTGCATGGAGGAGGCTCCGCGGCCGCGGCAACAGCCCCTCCCCTCCCCTCCCCTCCCCTCCTCCACACACACACCGACGGCCATTCGCAGGCATACACCCCACAGCAACACACGGACCACGCTCCCCCCTCACCCCTCCCTCCCGGACGCACCCGCGGAGGGTCGGGCACGCGGGATGCGTCGCAAACCGCAAAGAAACAAACAAAAGATCCATGACAGAACTTCACACTGCAGATTCCCTTTGCTGTTTTTTTTTGTTCTTTCTACGCCCACACACACCACCACCTTTTTCTTTCCTTCTTTCTCGCATAAGCATCACCTGCGTGGTCTAACGCACAACTACCAGGCCAAAGAAAATGAGGAAGAAGAATATTATGCCGAAGATTTTTAATATCAACCCACGGTTTGTGCTCAGGTTTGCCAAGTATCGCATTAGTTCGTTACTTCCGGCGTTCACGTGCCGCAGCGCGTTGTCCACGTCCGTGTCGATACGAAGAACCACCTCGTCCTGTTCGTGCACAAGTCGGGAAAAGTCATTGAATAGCTCACCCACCTCCACAACAGTGGCTTCCAGCTCCCGAACCGCCTCAGCGCGCTGTTTGTAGTACTGCGCATTGCTAGTGCCTGACACCAGTTGCTGCTGCTGCAGTTGATGTCGCTCCTGATCCTGAAACAATGCACTTTCGAAGGTTTGCATACGTTCACTCGTAGTAAACATATGACGCCGTTGCGCATTTTCCCTCATTGCCCGCGTTTGGTGCTGCAAGGTGGTACGAAACTCTTGTCCAGTGCGGGCGAGTCGTGTTCGCAGCGTGTCCACCACCGTGTCGTTATGCTTCGCAGAGGTTCGTACGACAGCATCGGTGTTTCCGCCTAAACTCCACAAGCTATGGGATTCACTGGCGCCTCCGCCGCCGTGTTTGGCCGCCGCTGCCTTCTGTGCGGCAAGCGCCCGCTGCTTGAGCTCCTCTAGTGTCTCCAAATCCGTTTGAAGCCGCTGCAACGACGATTTTACCATCTGTGTGAGGCCGGTGATCTCCGACGACTGGTCCTCAAACACGCTCTGCCGCTGGGTGAGCCGCGTCAGCCGCATGATGGACTCAGAGACCTTTGCAAGGTCCGCGGAAAACGCCTGGGCGAATCGGTTAAAGAGCTGCATCTCACTGCTGGAATGTAGACCCGTGTGTGGACGCAGCGGAATTCCTTCCGCCGCAACGAGGACGGTGGGGGGCGCGTCTTGCATACCCCCACCGCCCGCACCCTTCATGCCCTCGAACAGGGCGTAAAGTTCATTGGAGCGATCGCGCTCGACCACCATCCGCGCCCGGTGCGACTCCGCCGCCTGGTGTTTTAGCTACGACCCCAACGGGAACCCCTTCGCAAAGACGAGAGAAGGCGGAGCCGACGCAAGCAAGCAAGCGCCTCCTCCTTCCTCGCACCCGCACGGGTGCAGAGCAGCAGAAAGCAAGGGAGGGGGGGGGGACAAAGAGTGCACGAACAGCAAGCAGAATCCAAGATGCGTACGCACAGATGCGGATACAAGAAAAAGAAACGATCCGATGCGTATCGTCCCAGCAATGGCAAAAGCAGAAGCAGCAACAACAACAACAACAATAAAAAAAATGAATTCGCAATTTCAAGAGGCGTTCTTAGTCGGACGATGAATAATCGTCGTCCACTCTGTCACCCATAAAGTCCTCGTCGTCACTACTGGAGCTCTCCCGCTCATCGCGGGCGCGCTTGGAGGCGGCAGCCTCCGTACGGCCGTAAAAGGGATCCAACCACTTCTGCATTTCATCTTCGAGAAAAGTTTCATACGCCGTGGGCACAAAAACTAGGCGGCTATACTCCGAGCCGTGCGCGGAGGCAACGGTGCCAAAATTATCCTCCTTCAAGGCCCCCTGCTCGGCGTCGTCGGGCTTCGCCGCTCCGGGAATGCCGCCACTTGTCAGGAGAGCAGCAATCAACTTCCCCCTGTGGCGCTGGTTGAGGCGCATCACCATTTCAAACGCCGGAGCATCGCGCAGGGACACCAAGGCGCCAGGCTCGGCGCAAACGCCTTTCAACTGCGCCCGCATCACGTCCACGGAGGAGGCTAAACTGGGCGTCGTCGCCATGTGCTCACCGCCCAGCGACCCAGACGGAGGCTGAGAAACAAATCCAGCGAAACGTCGAGTGTGACCTCGCCGTCGCTTTCAGGGCTACAAAGTAAACAACCACAAAGCGGGAGAAGAAAAAAAAGAAAACAAAAGAAAACAATAAATCAATCACTATTATTATTATTATTATTACTATTTCGCTAAAACATCATCATCATTATGTATCCCCCTTCCCCTTCCCCCAGTTGGTAGCATTTTTCTACTTTTTCTTTGCTTCCTCCTCAAGCGCCCTTCCAATCGCCCATCTCGTGTCCTCTTCACCTCTCAAACTTTTCATCCCGCAAACTTTTGTACTGCAGTTATCTTTCTTTTTTCCTTTCTTTTCCTCGTCGTGGTTTACATGTAGATATCGGCACATCCCTCGCCGCCACGCTCGCGATCAACAAGCTCATTCAACAGCGCATTTCGCCTCGTCCAGAGGTAACTCTTCACCTCCTCCGCCTGTAACGCACAAAAGCGATCGTGCTGCAGAAGCATAATGGCGGATCGCTCAGTGACTTCATCCCCAACGATAGTCCGCGTCAATTCCACAGGGAGCAGGCGCTGGCGCATTTGATACTTTAGCTGATGGTATCGCGCCTCCTTATGCTCCTTATGAAAATGTTGTGCAAGCACCCCGGCGTGGAACCGCTGAAGCCGTTCGACGTCCATCCGCTCCTCCTGCTCACTCTGCTCAAACAAAAACACCTGATACGCCTGTTGCTGCTTCCAACTAAAGTAGGCCAAGTTGCGCTGCCGCTCCCCTGCTTCAAGCGCCAGCGCCTCCCGTCGTTCTCGCTCCACTTGCAGTCGTCTACTTTCAACCCACTCATGCACCTCCTCCCCTTCAATGGGCTTCCGCGCAAGCGGCTCTTCAGCAAAGACTATCGTTCGACGGTGAAGAACTTCAAAGAGAGAAACCGCCTCAAGCAGCATGGCAAAAAACTCACTTACTATCATTCTCCGCCCAAACTCCTCGGACTCCATCAGAGGTAGGGAGACGCAATGCAGTCGACTCCACTCAGGAACTCCTAGGACCCTGCCCGCAAAGCGGGAAATACCGTAAAACTCATCCCGCTCATACTCATTCAGTCGATCGCGCTCCGCCCACTCCTTTTGCAGCACCTCCTTTAGAAGTTTGCGACAAAATTCACCCTCGCGTTGCTTGAATGAGTCATAAAAGCAGTTGAAGTAGCGTCGCGGCGGGGCGCTTGGCGCCGCTCTGGGTTTTTGTTCCACGTTCCCTCCATACAACACCCGGTTTTCCTCCGCCCGCATCAAGTACCAGAAATCATCGTTCTCCGCAAGGTGTCCCCGCAGAATGTCAAAGCGGTGGTGGTGCTCATCAAAGCTGACTCCGTCCTGCATCACGGCCGCCGAGTTCACCTCGCCTCACAACAGGGCATAACAAGCGGGATGACAAAAAAAAGGGGGACCGCCAACGAAGAAGGCCACACAATGAGGAGAAGAGAGAGAAGTGCGCGCCCAACAAGGGCCACCACAGAGCAACGGGAAAGAGAAGTAAGAGGCAGGGGAAAAAACACAAAAAAAAACAGAGAAACAAACCCCAGACGCAAATAAACAAAACCCAAAGGTCAAGGGATAGAGAACACCACACAAGGGCAGAAACCGCCGGAAACAAAGGAAACGAAGGCACGATTACAACAAGTCTGCACTAGATGTTGTTTTGGTGGTTGTTTTCTTCATTTTGCGTTTCACCCCCGCCGCCACCGTTGTCCCACGCCTAGCTGAAAGAAGGGAAAAACGTGCACGCACGCACGCACGCACGCCGCTGGAGATGCCGCGACATGAGACGCGGTGCGTTGGAGATGCCGCCGCTACGCACTAGAAAGCCCCCGATGCGACCGAAACGAGCGACGGCAGGAGAATGAAACCTCCTGCCGCGCCGCAGCGGCGGAGAGCGCCTTGTCTTACAGTTCCGGCTTCCATCTGTGGCAAGACCGCTTCCAAGGCTGCTGGAGGGCCCTGCCCCGCCAACGCCGTCCGCCCCCCACCATTGGGGCCGGTACAACGGCGTCAAATGGTTCCCCTTGATACTTGCAGTTCGCTGTCGGTGGGACGAGTACCAACCAGCACAGACGGAGCAGCTCCTAGCGCCTCTGTTTGTGAGGAGCATGACGCCCTGAAACCGCGGCAATGGGACCGGCCTCGTCTGGGGCATCACGGATCCGTTCCACAACGAAGCGACCAGGAGGGTAAATCAGCCAACTCGCATCCTATTTGCTGACGGCGATTGCGGATGAAGTCCAGCCTAAACCACGACGTAAAGCACGGCTCTGTCACAGCACTTGTGTCCACCCTGACGCAGCGCGTGTCTTCCGACCCGCCGGCAGCACGGCTCCTTCCCTTGACAAAGGTGACAAATTCCACTTCCCCAACCGCCGCGGCAAGAAACCCAAACGTCGACGCCGGCGACAAAAAAAGATGATTGGATAGCGATAGCATTACCACATCCGCGAGAGCCTCCCACTCTGGAACAGAGCCTTGCCCCGTGCCCTGCTTCTCTTCTTTGCGGTGCGGCTGGAGAGAAACGACACGGGCCCCTTTTTTGAGCAGGTTTACACTAAAGTGCACTTTCGCCTCACGGTACATGGTGGCCAAAAAGAATGTCGGGGACGCAGTTGCTCGCGCAACAAAATGGTTGACACAATAGAAAAAGGATTCAACAAGAGGACGTGTTTCATGCCGCCTAAACGGACGAATATGCATCCCCACGTACTGGCGTTGTTTTAACAAGGGGTTCGACCTCATGAAGCGCACAGCACGATACATTGCGGGTCGCGCAGGAAGAAATATCAACGGCAATAATGATCGAAATGGATCCTTGGTGAACCACGCACGCACAATTGGTCTCGTGCGCTTGTTCGCGTAAAAGAGCGGAACAAAGTATTGATTGGTCCATATGTAGATGAATTTCTCATGGGAGAAGAAATCAATCTCGCTAGTTGCAGAACTGTCTTCGCATGCAAAGTGCTTCCAAAGGCTTAGCTTCTTATCACGACCTGCACGAATGTCAATTTTGGCATGGCCATCCTTAAAAACGGCAACCTCGGTTGAGTTGTCCGGCCGTCGAAACTCGTCAGGGTAGAGCTTCTCAAACTGGCTGAGAGACATGATGGGAAACAGACTGCAAAGCATAAACTCATTTTCCACACGAGGAGTGCGTTCGTTGTTGGAAAACCAAAACAGTTCCCGCAGGCTTTCGTAACGGAAGGCCTCCTGAGATGCATTCCCGTGAGCCACAAACGGGAGCAATGTGGGTCGAATGGGCGGCGACCCGGAGGGCCGCAGCGGGGTAAACCAGTCCTTCATTAGGAGCACACGCCCCGACAACAACGCCGCGAGTAGGACGCTTGTAAGCGACTGAATACGGTTCCCCAAACCGCCACTAAGCGACCAAACGATATACTTCTGGCCTACCTCGGGGTTTCCCAAGGAGACTGCCATGTGGCGACGACGGTGGGACGCAAGCGCGCCCTTAAACGCAGCATTGTAGCGCAGTGGAATTACCTCCTCCCACATCCTCTTCACCATACTGTCGCAAAAGGCCTGGTTTTCCTCCTTGCTGCCGTCACTGCCGCCCGGGGGCGGGGCCAGGTTCGGCAGCAGGGCGGAGGCCGCGTCGAGGTACGTGTCCATCCATCGCCGCGGGCTCGCCTCCACGTGGGCCTCTGCCGCCGCATCCGTGTCAGCCTCATCCAGAGACACGACCCATGCGAAGGCGCAGGCCAAGAAAAGGCTGGTCAGCAGCACGACCCGCAACCCCACCCGTCGCCGGGCGCAGAACGCCCTCGCCATGGACCCCGCTGAGGTCGCTGGAACCCCGAGAGAAATCAAAAAAAAAAAAGAACAATAAAAAAAAAGCCGTCCACGAGACCAACGAAGCGGCAGTCCTCATGCAAAAGGACCCACATAACGACAACAATAACACAAGCGGCGTGGGAGAGGAACCAGCGTCCCTGGCACCAGAACTCTGGAGCGCATTTTCAATGCCCTGTGCGGAGTCGCCGCATGCCACACTCCGGTCACGGTGTTTCAACAGACGTGAAGACAATCCTTCCGAAAGCCGATCAGCAAAGGGATAGACAAAGCAAAAACCAAACAAAAAGGAAAGAAAGAAAAAACATGTGTTGTGGCCACTGGCGTTGCGCCTGAAAAAGCACCCTGCTTTTCTTCCGTTATGCTCGTTTTTATCTTAACTTGAATGAGCGGGGGTTGGGGGGTAAAGATGTCCATTAACGAGAAAAAAAGAAGACGACAAGTCTAGGGTGGGAAAGTCCCCATCAACAAAGTTGAATGCATATTACCCACACCTCATCCACACAGAGAGAGAGCGAGAGAGAGTGACAACTATCACGGCAAAAATTAAATAAAATACATACGCACACACACACACAATGGAAAACAAGTTAAATCTATACATGTAGACTGATATCATACATACTTGCTGGGGAAGAGGACAAATTCTTAGGCCGCGTTAAATTAGATAACGCCGCAAATAAGCAATTCCGCAGGCTTTTAAGATTTTGATTCGCCGTTTCGGCGTCTAATTCTTTTCGGTGTGTGTGTGTGTGTGCGTGTGTGTGTGTGTGTGGGTGAGTGAGTGCTCCAATGCAATACTCACACGGTAGAAATGAAGTGTGTCTCGCGTATCACAGCCACGTTTCCCTCATCATCTCCAACAACTAACTCAAATGGAAAAAACTCCTCTAAATGAAAATCACTTTCATCATCGTTAATAGTATTATCATCCTCTGCGCATCCATCCTGAAGAACACACATGCAGCTCACAGAAAAGCGATGCTTATAGGTGGAGCGAGGGTGCGGGAAGCTCTGCTCAAAGTGGTACATCCAACCCTCCCGCGTGGCAACCAAAAAGTCACCGTTACGCCGCTTCAGTAATGCAAAACAGGTAACATTTTCCGTATACAATCTCACCATCCTCCCAGGACGAAAACTTGTACCCTCTGTGGAGCGAGGATTAATGCCTCTGCTATGGCTTGAAGAGTTTTGCGTCGTCGTAGATGACACCACCTCCCTACGGTGCTCTCCAATTTCCTCCAAGTCGTGCAGCAGGATATATTCCCGTAAGAGGGCACCAATACGAAGATCCCATAAAAAGACGCGTCCATCTTCACCGCCAGAAAAGACAAAGTTGCCATCCACAAGAAGCGCCGTGACAGCCTCGGTGTGTCCAACCCGCTTCCTTTGCTCTTGCTGTGCCGAATCACTACAACACGTCGCCACGCTGCCACTACTACTACTACTAGTCCGATGAGAATGCGGCCACCGAGTTGCAACCTTTGATGTGGGACTGTTTACTCGGGTGACGGCAGCCGCAAGTGCGGACGCCGTCGTTGATGGCCGCCATGGGGATGGGGGTCGTGATGGGATGGAGCGGAGTGGCTCCAGCCCCCGCGCATGCCACGAACTAACGGTACCAGCACTATCCCCAACGATAAACAGTTCATTAATTTCGTCGAAGGCAACACAGAGAAGTTCGTTAAAACTAATTCGAGTGCGACCATGCGGCTGCGCCTTGGATTGCGCCGGGTACTCCCACACAGCCAAGTGGCCGTCGAAAGAAACAGACGCAAGGAATTCATTCGGTTCCCTAGGAATCAGAGAATTAACACCACTCCCAAGCCGCGTCAATGTGGTAAAAGGACCCTCTTGCTCCACAATGCGAGCTTCCACAAGACCAGAGACGGCATTACGGTGTAGGCCTTTATGCCAAACACAGGTTGCAAGTTCTTTTCCACAGGGCCAATAACGAATGCTACCATCATCATGCCCCGTGACAGCCAAGTTCCAGCGCGTGTTGTAGTAAAAAGCTGTGACGTCGCTACCGTCATTCTCAACCCCAGGTTTCACACCGCTCTTCCTGATTTTGCACGGCGGCGCATCGAATGGGGAGACAACGCCGTCGAGCTGAAGCGGCTTGTGCGCAATGGTGGTACAAAACTCAGAATTTTTGCCAGACACATTCCCGTGGTGGTAAACGGAAAGCGGCTCAAAGGAACTTCCCCAGAAGCAAATGTCACCGTCTGCGGAACAAGATAGCACATGAATCCGACCATTGTCCTCGGTTGCCCGCAAGGAATTTTTAAACCATTCCGATTCAGGGTCAACATTTATCTCTTCGACACTGTTGCTGCTGTTGCAACGGGTGGCGAAGCGAGCTGTCTTTCTACTGGAAATGGTGCTTGTAAGCATTCGGTTAAAAGTGCTGTTGTTCGGGTCTCTGCAGATGATCTGTTCAAAGGCATCAGAAGCCCCAGACATCGTTTTGGGTCTCTTTTCGAGGTGCAGGGGAGAGTGGAGTGGGGACTCCCGCAGGAAAATCCCCACAATGGTGTCTTTGTGCGCCCTAAACTCAAGCCGCGTCTGGGCCTCAATCACCACATCGCACAACTCCAAGCCCGTGTTGCAGACAACAAAAAACGGTACAGTGATCGCCCCAGAGGGGCCCTTATCTGTCCTTGAGCCTCCGGTCAAGTCGTGTGCTTCCCCAAAAAAACACGCCACACGACGTTTGGCCTTGCCTTGCGTCTGAGCACTTATCCGTTTTCCGCCAGAAGCCTCACTACTGTAATAATGACGGGTGCCACACGGCAGTAGTCGTAGTGCCGTTTTTGGCTTCCCACTCTCATTAATCGCAGGGGATCTCCACGAGGCAAGAAACTTGTTTTCCACGTTGTCCCAAACGAACACCATGTTTCGATTGTCTAACAAAAGTAGGTAGTCTAGCGAGGTGACATACAAGACGTCTACAAACCGCAATGGCTCGCCAGCACCACCACCAGCAACAGGAGCAGCAGCAGCATCATTGCCGGAGATCAAAAAGGTCTTTTTCTGAATGTTTGCATTGTTCTGATGCTTCAGACGTCCCTTTCCAGAACCTTGCAGGTTACCTTGGGCGGCTGCTTGGGCGTTGCCACCTTTGTCCTCACCGGCTGCTACGCTCAGACTGGGGTGCATCACCACCGCCGCCACGCTCAAGCGAGTCATGTCAAGAAAACGTAACGTAGGACTATAACCCAATACTATAAACAAATTACGCTCCAACAACGGAATAATACGTGTGATGGAGCTTGTACTTTCATCTCGCACGGAATGCTGACTTCCTGGTAAACTTGCTAGCCGTGCCTCTTCACCAATGGTTTGTAATTTGCGCGTGGTGCGTAATGCTCGCGTAATAACCCCCCGATGCAGAAGTTTCATCGCCTCCTTCTCATTAGTGGCCGGTTTTAATAAGCCTCCGGCATGGGTGCTGGAGCTCATCCTAGAGGCAATAAACGTTGGAAATTGCATTGAACCTCGTCGGTTTGTACTACCCTTTCGAGACACGAGCGCTGCTGGGTCTGAAGCATGTCCTGCTGTTTTACGAAGCGCATGTAACAACCTCTTCTCCACCTGAGAAGGCTGCACAACAGGCTCCTGTGAGAAGGTCGTTCCTTTAAAACCAATGATACAACCATGCTCGCCAGTCACCAAGACATCATCCCCCTGCACAACACGCTCTGGAGAGGACCAAATATGTCGTACCCATCCGTTGCAATTAAACACTTGCTGTTCAACGTACTGCGGCGGTGCATCATGGGCAGTAATGCCCCTTAACCCCAGACACGACCATACTTTTACAGTGCCGTCAACTCCACCGCTAATCATTAATTCACAGTGTGTGGCAAGCGCACTGACCGCAGTCTGATGGGCACGGGAAATGCGCTGAGTTAAGCGCCGCGTGTGAACATAGGCGGCAAATTGCTGTGCGGGACGCATGCTTCTCGTTTCGTCGTCATGCATGTATTTTTCCCTTAGAGCTCCTCGGTACTGTTGATGCACATCCCACACAAATAAGGTGCCATCCACCCCACCAGATACCGCAAGGTCATTATGAGAGTCGTACACGAGCGAGCAAACGCCACCAACAGGATGATACCCCAGCAACGAAACACCGCGCGGGGCCTGCTCACTCATACTTCTAATAAAGTCACGCTCTTCTGTAGAGATGCCATATTCTAGAAGGTTGTTGCGCTGTTCCTCGGCAATAGTTGAAAGACTAACTGAACTTCCAAAAGAGGAACCGCCACCTACCTCACGCTCGTGATCGAGGTACGATCGCTGGGCCAGCAAGGGTAATGTTGCGTAATACCGACGATTTCTGAGATCGGTCGCGTAGACACGCAGGGTAACAAGTAAGACTGCCCCAGTATTGTACCCCCAGAGACACTCTCCCTCTTCCAGTTTGAGGTCACTTGACACGAGCCCACGAAGAGAAGGAAATGTCTTCTTCATTTCGCTCCCTTGCTGCCCCGCCCCTTGATCATCCTCGACGCGTTGGGTAGGCAGTCGCAGAAATTCAACAGCCGTAAGGTGCGAAGCAGCTGCTTCTTCAAAGACGAAGGTACCTTCGTCTTCCGCCGTCAACTGTTTTTTCGCTTTTGACGACGACGCAGCGGCAGCTCGGCGCTGCGCCTCCTCTTTTAAACGCTGTGCAACCGGACCCGGTTCCTTGATGTTGTCGCTCGGCACGGGCGGCAGCTTCACATTTTCCCTAATCAAAGTGTAGACAAGGTCGTCGTTCGCCCCACCACTGTTTTCCTTGCGTGCAAGAAAAGGAGGCAAAACGGGTTTAACCCGCGGCGAAACGGCGTCTAGCAGGGATGCCAGTGTGAGAGCTGAGAGATGGAACTTCCCTGCATGATCCCGGAGAAGCAATTCGGGAGGCACGCGCGGGTAGTACTGGCGCCGTACCACCACGGTCGAGACGGGAATCGGTACCCCGACATTGTCCTTGTCCATCCTCTCTGGAAGTGGCTGGGGAAAGAGAGGCAACCTAATA